CTTCTTTTATCCAAGTCTTTCAAACCTCTGCTATTCCAAAATATTCCTTTCATATTTCATCATGAAATTTTTTGGTAGTCCGAATCCTAGCACTCCTACGAACCGCTGAAGCGGGATAAATCTTCCGCTTCCACTTGTGTTTGGGTTTACATTGGTCCTCCATCCGGTCCTCATAACCGGGCTCGGTGGGTCTAGCTACTGCATCCTCTAGAGTTACATCCTCTTCCTTAGACTCAGAAGTGGATGGCGCAAGATCCGCACAAAGATTATCGAGCACTCTGACCCCAATGCATCAATCTCTGCATCGTTCATGGGTTTTACCGCTGCTAGGTTTCGAATTGTTTCTAAAGCGCGTTCCGCTTCCAAATCTAGGAGATCATTAATCGAGTTGGATATTTCACTATCATTACTCCCTAGCGAAACTCCTAATTGGTTTGTATTATTAATAATCTCCTCATTAGAAAAATGCAAGATTGAATTAGAAATGTTGACAGACATACCAGTAGTGACCTTAATGTCACGAAGCTTGGCCGCCCTCATAGCGCACCTCTGCTGCATGACATCAACCTTCGGGTGCTCCTGGATACGACAACTCATCCGTCGCCCCGCAGAGACCGGGTCTGGGATCCCACCAAAGGAAATGACCTCCTCCCGAGTAATACCTCTCGCTGAATCCCACGAAGGGTCAGCCAGAGTTATCGGAGGAAGCGACTGTGGGCTCCCAGGCCCCACAGCCGAGTGCCTTAAACTGAGGTCCTGGGCCGCCGGTATGCCAGGAGAGGGGAGCGTGGGGAGCGTGGGGGCCGCTTGCCCGAGCACTCATCTCGCCCCAACCCTCTGGCCAGAGGGTGACACCAGTGCCGCAGGAGACGCGGCCTTCCTGATCGCCAAAGGGGAGGTGGGTCGAGGCCACCTGCCCCAGACCACCACCCCGCGCCACTGGAGAAGTGGCCACTCCAGACGCCGCTGGCGAAGAGGGGACCGAGGACACCTACCCCGGACCGCCTCCCCCACACCCGTTCGTCGTCGACGTCGCCGGCGCCAGGATACGAGGAGAAGAAGTTGAGGCCACCTGCCCCGTACTCCCTCCTCTAGAAGCATCCTCCATAATAAACGTCATCTCCCGGAATGAGACCGCTGGGAGAGCGAGAGAAAGAGAAGCCACCTCAGACTCCACCTCCCCTCCCCAACTAAGGTCGTCGCCGAGGAAGTCCTCACCAAGCCTTCGATCATGGGACTATCGGTAGCAACAAACTCCGACACGGGAAGTGTGCGCTCAAACACATCATCAGATTCCACCCGGTCGCTCCAGAGTCTGGAGGGGCAGAAGCTGGCTCAAACAACCCAAACCACAGAGAACTCATAGGCACCGAGGATGATGGTGTCGTCCCGACCCTGGGCCCATCCCCGGGCAGCTGAGCAACATGGCCCGATTTGTTGGACACCTCTTGTCCAGCCTCATCAGTCGGTGCCCCCTTGGCACCCGCATTGTCATCACCCTCGTGCATATCCACATCAGTCCCATTGATCGCCTCAGCAAACAGATCTGCATCCTCAAACTCAATCTCGAGAGGAAAAACCTCTCCCCTGTAAGTCCAGTTGACCACATCAGGGACGAATTCAATATCCAGAATGCTCACTAGAAGTCGGGCCACCCCATGAGCGCGGGTAAAGGCCATATCCACTTTCTCAGTTTTTCCAACCATAATACCCAAACTGGCCACAACTCGAGCATCCTGCATTGGCTCAAAGGGAGCCCCGAAAAACCGCAACCAAACCTGAGTAAGGGGCTTGCCCTTTGGCTCCACCTTCTTCCACTCGTGAAATTCCAGAATGCCTTTAGTGCCAGGAACTCTGCACAACCCAAAGCTCAGCAATCTCTGCAAATCATCCACAGTTGGGAAGTCAACCTTGAACGCATGGCCTCAATACTGACAAGCTCCCACTGGAAGTCACATGGAGCCAGTTCCTGAAGCCTCTGCACAATCTGAGCCTCAGAAACCTCTCCCTGGATAACTTTCACAATCCCAGTGGTCAAACTTTGTGTCTCCACCGGAGTCTCTCTCGCAGCCGGGGACTCAAAGAACATCAACTCAGCACAATATACTCCATACATTGTAAGAGCCGGAATCTGATCACGCAAAAATGGGCAACCCCCCGTGGCATGTACTGGCTTACCACACGAATCGCAAAGCTCCGCCACGCACTCAGCAATGAAGTGACCCTTCTCACCACATCAATAACATGACATCTTCTCCTTCTTACGCGCCCACTTGGACGCTCTCTCTGAATCAGTCCTGTCGCCTGCCTCAGCTGTAGCCCCAGTCCCAGGTATCTCCGCGTTGGCCAGCGCCGTCATGACATCCATCGCCTGGCTAGGCAGGTCAGTCGTCTGAATGGGATCGGCTGCCACGATAGAGGCCGTATGGTCAGCAACGACCGGTGGAGGAGGCTATCTGTTACGGTACCGACCACGACCACCACCATGACCACCACGGGAACCACGGTAACCACCTCTCTGCCGGTAGTCCGGGCCAGAAGCTCCCTCGACAAAATCACCCAGAGGGCCGAGAAAAAGTCTCTCAGCAGAACCATCACTCTGCCAGGCAAAACCACGACCACCTCCTGTGGATGACGAGCCACGGTGTTGGCCATCCTCATATGCATCGTAGCCATCGTCCCCCCACTATCCCCGGAGCGGATCATAAGTCTCTCCAGCAACCGAGTTCTGCCTCGTCTGTGTTGGGCCCGAACGTTTTTGCGCCGGCCTCGCGACGTAGTGAGGCGGCGGCGTGGCACGTGGCTGAACTCCGGCAGAAGCGACCTGGTTGATCACAGCCGGCCTCGGGCCGTTGGCTCCGGCCCGCCCTGCAGCAGTAGTCGCCGTTGTAGTCGGCCCTACCGGCCAGGGTCCAACATGCCCACCTCTACCCGCCGGTGCGACGGGCGGCCTAGCCGTCACTGGCTGGGGGCCAGGAGGCATCCCGCCCCGACCCGCAGCGGGCGTTGGAGCGGCGGCGCCACGCCCAGCGCCCGCGGGCGGCGGCGGCTCAACCCCGACACTGCCACTCGCGACCACCGCAGGGGGCTTCTTCGCAGGAGGCAGTCCCGCTCCTCGGCCCGCCATGGCAACAAGGGGGAGGATCCGTCGCGCACGTCCAGAACCGCAAGACGGGAACCCCGGCGTCCCGTTCCGATGAACCCTAGCAGTTGGCGCAACTTCGTACGTAGGGCAAAGAACGCTCTTGTCTCTGCATGTATCGATGGACGCAATCCTGGTGGGTTTCGGAATAGCCTGGGCCTCATACCCAGCTATCTCCGGCCCAGCCAGTTGCGGCCTAGAAACTGACAGATTCGGCCCATCTCGGCCTAGAATCAAATTCAAACGGATGCCCCGAGTCGCCCCGATCCCGACCCCGGGGATCGACGGCACGGTCGCCGCCAGCGGTTGTCCGGCCACCTTCCGGGGCACTTGCCTCTTCTAATAAGCTAAAGATGAGCTAGCAGAGTCTCATATATATGCCCAGACAAGACGAGGTCCACATGCAAGAAGAGTGAATCCTAACGACATGGCACATTAATTTTTCTCTGCATGTGACATCTAGTCTAGCTAGCTATATCATCATGCAAATGAAAATTGGTCTCAAAAGCTTATGGATATGTCATATGAACTAAGCATAGATCACTAACACGGCAGTAGTAAAACGATCGAACGCGTAGGCCCCTCCAACGGCAAGCTTGTGGGTTGTGACCGGCCTTGTCGCCTCTGCCATGGCTTCCCTCCCGTCCTTTTTAGCATCATCTACTTATGCTTGATCATCATATCTATCCATACATGGTGCTTTGAATTATTGTTTTCAGTGGTAAATAATCTATATACGCGTGGTCCTCGAACAACACATATCATGTCTATCTCGTCCTGGACATCTCAAGTGGATTAACTTGAGGGAAATGATTAGCATCCCTAGCTCGGCTTGACTTCGCTTTTCTCCACCGAAGAAGAAACATATCTCCATCGCAACGAAAAGGTTAAAAGCTATCGCAAAATGATGTCGTCTTCAATTATCAGTTTTATTTTGCGAGTACATCATGTGATCCTCGTGCGTCTCAACCATACGTAGTCCGGTCCAACAATGAAATTTTTGTCCATGATCATGTTTGTCAATGCGTTTCAAACATATCTCTGCGGATTCGAATTAAGCTTGGACACTAGATCATGTTTCATCAGGGAAGAAACAAGGTTCGGTAATGGCCTGAAAATGCGTGAAATTTGGCACTTGTTTATTTATAGCGGGTGAAAATTATTGGGCTTTCCCCTTAAACATTTGTACATGGACATGTAGATCTAAGCTTCTTTCCTTTTTTTTTTACATTTGCAAGAATATTTTCAGCGTGCAGGAGCAAATGCTCAGGCGTGCATGCTCACTCAACTAACAACCCAAATAACTATAATTAACTAAATCAAAGTACCGACCGCTGAATCATGAAAGGCCAGCACACTGCAAGTGCTCACTTGGCTTAACAACCCATGCACATCTGAGGAGCAGGCATGTGAGGAGCCACGCCCGGCATCCATGTACACAGCGATCTGCCTCAGGTCACCCTGACAGCCTCGCATTTCTTTTCCCCCATCTCCCCGCCTTCCCGCTTGCACTTTTGTCTCGTGGATTCGCTGCTGGCCGCAGATCTGCACTGTGTGCGTGCGTCGTGCTGGATCTCCATCCAGCATCCAGATCCATCGCTTGTACTGCATCCACGGGATCCAAGCCCCATAAAAACACACTGTGACACGGCCGGCATGCATGTGAGCCGAGCCGTGCAACCAACTGCGTGCCACCTCTGGTCTGGCTGGCTGTCTTCCTTTCTATAAAGACCCCACACGCACGAATCATGAGCTAGCCACAGTTACAACTTACAAGTGAGAGGAGATCGTTCGGAGAAGAAGAAGCTCGCCGTGAGGAGAGAGGTCTTAGAGTGTGTAGAGTGACAGAGAGAGAGGGATGGACTGGTACGCGTGGCTGTCGAAGGCGGGGCTGACGCCGGCGGCGACGTACCAGTACGGGCTGCTCTTCAGCGAGAACGAGCTGGAGCCCGGGGACGCGCCGGACTTCGACCACGACCTGCTCAAGAGCATGGGCATCGCCGTCGCCAAGCACCGCCTCGAGATCCTCAAGCTCGCCAGGAAGGACGCCGCCGCCGCCGCCGCGTCCCAGTCCTCCTCCTCCGCGGCCGCCCGGCTCGCGCGCAGGGCCGGCAGGTGCATCGCCCGGTGCGCGCGCCGGCTGGGCGGTGGCGCCGGCGGTCCCGGAGGGAGGCGGTACTCCTCGTCCTCCGTCACCGTGGTGCCGAGGATCTGCAACGGCGCGGCGGGGGACGTGGTGGTCCGCGCCGGCGCCGTGCGGCGGAGGAGCAGCGTCAAGAAGATGGTGCTCATGATCACCGACGGCGGCGTCGCCAGCGGCGTTGGCGGCGGCGGCGGCGTCCGGTTCTCGGGCTCGCAGAAGGCCAGCCTCATGTTCCAGGACTGCGCGTACGAGGACGAGGAGGACGACGGCGCCGGCGAGGAGGACGAGGAGCGGTGCTCCGACGGCGGCACCGCCGGAGGCCAGAGCGAGATCAAGTGGGACTCCATGTTCCAGGACCTCAAGCCGACGTGAGCTGCGTGCGCGACGACTGACGACGCCGAGCATGTCATTTCCTCTTACTCCCTCGGTCCCTTCTCATGATCGAGATTACTGTTTTCTTTTCTTGGTGTGCTAGCGAGAGTGTGGCCTCTGGCTTTGTCTTCTGTAAACTGTAAAATGACTGCGTTTGGAGTGATGAGTGAAGATCAAGAACGATTGATCTGCGCACCACATCTGAAACTATCTGCCCGCACGCCACACCAACAGACCAACTGCATTGTGAATTTCTCTTCAGAAATACTCCCTCCGTTCCTAAATATTTGTCTTTTTAGAGATTTCAAATGGTCACCGCATACGAACGTATATAGACATATTTTAGAGTGTAGATTCACTCATTTTGCTCCGTATGTAGTCACCATTTGAAACCTCTAGAAAGACAAATATTTAGAAACGAAGGGACTAATACCTATTTTGGAACGGAGGGAGTACACGTGAAACTAGCTGCGATCACAGTGGATTCGCTTCAGAGTTCAGACAGGCAGTCAACCTCCATAACTAAAAGTAGTCGAGATTAGTCAGTTAGCCTACACCGAACTCAAGTACGCAGAAAGAGCGCACAACTTCTTTTTTTGGATCAACACAAAAGTGCACAACTTGATGAGAAGCGACAACCACATCATCAGACGACAACCGCATCAACTTATCTATCCCGTGTGTTCAACAGAGGACGACATCGTTATGGCTCCTTTATAATTGTGTCCTACTATTCCTCCAAAATTAATTGTGTACTATAGTCCTCCAGACATAATGGTGTCCTTGCATGTCCATCCGTACACACGGACAAGGACGTCAAAGCCATTTATACAAACAATTTCTTCCATTTACAGGATATCTAAGAGCCATCAGTTGGCTATCCTTCCAATTACTCAGCTCCCTAGAAACAGAGGACTAGGGGAGAGCGCTGAAAGTTTTTTCTTCGCACTGGACACCGTCTGCGTGGGTCTGGTCAGATCCTGGGTCATGCGTGACAGTATCAGAACCAACGTTCTATTACAACACATTGAAAAAAAATCAAAACATTTTGGAATTTTACATTTTTGTGAATTTCCACAAAGGGTCACAAAGTTTGAAAACATTAACGAATTTAAAGGATAACCGTAAATTTAAAAATTCTACATGAATATGAAAAAATAGTGAATTCTTAATTTTTTTTCCATGAGTTTATTATTTATAAAAATCATCATAAATTTCATGAAATTTTAGCACATTAAAAAAACGGTAAACTGTTCCAAAAAGTCATAACATTCACGAAATTAAAGTTGTTGTGAATTTCAAAAAAGGTTTCAACTTTAAAAAAACCTCACTAATTTAATATTTTTTTGTAAATTTCAAAATTCTGCATGAATATGAAGAAAATCCATAGATTCTATATTTTTATACAATTTTTATGTTTATTCATGATTTTAGGAAGAAAAAAAAATGAATTGTAGAAATTTTCACAAATATCAACCTTTTGGTTATTTGAAACTTTTCACATATTTTTTAAAAGATCGTAATTTTCTGAAAATATATATTAGTCTGAAAATATGTCCTTAAACTGTGTTACTGAATTTTAAAAAATACCATAAACCAAAATAACTGTTTATATTGAAATGGACCTTTCCTGCTATGGCTTGGCCAGGTCATGGGTGTCGCATTATAGTATTGGACAACCATTCTATTAAAACACATTTCAAAACGGTTACAAAGATTTAGGAATTTATTTTTTTGTGAATTTTATTAAATAGTCTCAAAAGTTCATAAACATTTATGAATTTAAACATTTCATAAATTTAAATATTCTTCACAAATATGAAAAAAATCATGATTTATAAAAAAATCCACTGCTTTTATATGTTTTTCTTCATGTTTTAAAATGATAACGAATTTTGAAATAATGTTCAGGGATTAGAAAATGTTTGTAACTTGAAAAACGTTCATGGATCTGAAAAAATGTTAGTGGATATTTAATAAAAAATTACAAATTTGAATAAAACATTTATGAATTTGGAGAAATGTCCAAGAATATATAATAATTTCCTTAATTTGAAAATATTAATAATTAAAAAAATCCTTCAAATAAAATAAAGGAAAACATATAAGTGAATAGGAAAAATAGTAAAAGAACCAGGCTGAGAAAAAAATGGAGAAAAAACCTTCCCAAAATGGAAAGGACTGGCCTACATGGCCAACCCAATAGCGCTCGTGCGGGTCCGAGTTTGCTCCACCACCTCAACGGTATGCATGAAATGTAGATTGACCCAATAACTGCTGGGAGAAAAATAGAATTAATGCCAAAACCGAAATGCGGCACAGCAAAGCGCACGTTGTCCTCTAGCATATACTCCCTCTGTTTCTAAATACTTGTCTTTCTAGGCATTTCAACAAGTGACTACATACGGAGCAAAATGAGTGAATCTACACTCTAACATATGTCTACATACATCCGTATGTAGTGGTCATTTGAAATATCTAGAAAGACAAATATTTAGGAATGGAGGGAGTATTAAACTCACATGTCATATAAAACAAATCTTATTGAACATTCTTAAATATAATCAAACATTTAAATTGCGAGAGCGGCGTTTTGGATCCCGAGCTATTCTGTTCCCGGTAATGAACAGTAAAAATAATAAAAATCCAAAAATCCTGATTGTTTACGTGGAAGATTTTTGAGTGTGTGATGTTCATCTCAATTTTCAGTGTGCTTGGACATCTTAGTAGCTCTCGGCAAAATGGATAAATAGTGTGAGTAATGACTTGACATTCCGTTATAATTGTCTTGAAAAATAGTAAAAAAACCACAAAAGGAAAAGAACATTGACTTCATTTAAGAAAACATTTTTTTGGCAGAAACTGTGTGAATTGTGACATGTAATAGCAATAATTTTTATTTTTTCTGCCCTGAAGTCAACGCTGGTTTTTTATTCGTGAAAATTTATATATTAGTGCAGAAGTAAGTCATGTTTATTCTAGAAAAATCTTTAAACTTTTTGGAATTTTTCTAAACTTTTTTGACTTTTTCTAAAAAAATCTCATATCAGGCGTGTGTACACCGGGAAGGCTGGAACCAAAGGTCTTTTCCTTTGTTTTCATGTGCTCTCTTCCTCCTTTCTCATATATAATATTTTTATCTATAGAAGCACGCAGAAAAGCTGACTCTTGCAGACAAAAGTGCCACGTGACCAGGCTTATAGCCTACTATTATACTTGCTCCAAAGCACATAATAAAACATAAATGTGTGATTAGAGAATGTCATGTACTTCCTCCGTTCATAATATAAGAGCGTTTACTCTCAAGAAATTAGATTTGGGACCTGAAAAACCCAAACGACTTTAAAAAATCATCAGAAATCATCTTATTCACACGCAGATAGCTAATTAAGACGCACACAGAGTTGGAGCTTTGATTTCCTCCACGAACCTGGTCGAGTCGGGGAGCTCAGGGAAGCAGTAGAAGGCGTGGACGATGCCCAGGAACTCCGCCACGTGCATGTCCTTGCCCTTCCGCCGCAGCATGTCGCCGTACCGCCATTGATGTTTTGTTGAGCTGTCAAATTTGAAGTTTATATGTTGCTCTATATGGGAGAAACAAAAAAAGACAAACATACTTGCATGAATCGCGATGCAAAAATCAATGACAAAATAGGGGGTATCCTAAAGCCTATGCTCTATAATATGTTTACGACGCGGCCTCGCGGGTGTCTACCAGTCGCCGAGGGAGAAGAGCCAGCGGTTGATGGTCCCGTCGCGGCGCTGCGAGAGGCCAAAGGCGGTGTCGAGCGCCAACAGCTGGAGCCTCACCGTCCACTGCAGCGCCGACGGGGAGCTCTCGTCGGCAGCCGTTTCTTGGTTCTTCGCCTTGGTCTCCATTTCTTCCGACTCCCGTGTCAAATTGAGCCCGCCGGGTCGGCAGCTACTCCCGCCCGGCGTTTATATATGGAAATGCAGTGAGACCAATTGGTTGTGGTTGGTCAAACACGCAGTCTAGAGTCGAGACTATGACTGCAATGAACAAATATATTTATGCTGTAGAAAATTTTGCATGGATTTTCACGTAAGATCTTATGAATATGGCATCGGTTAAGTTTTAGTCTACTAAGATTTAATGATTTGCTATAAGCTTTTTCTCACTAAAATCGATATATCGTGGATCAATAGATACGAGAATACAACTATTTCCAATAGGAATATAGTTTCAAGTATATTCAAGATGTATTCTTCTAAAAAAATCAAATGATTTATGAACTTCAATATTCCAGTCTTTTAGATTCCTATGATTATCATTATCATGGGAAATGGTGTTTGCTTGTGTTTAAAACCCAAGTTTGGTGCTTAAAGTTTTCTCCCTTGTCCCCACGAGTGACTCCAGGAAATAGGGTTTCCTTGCCTCCCGCTGACGTCGCCATTGATCTGCCTCGCCTCATGTGGTCTTAGGGCCATGGAGGCGCGGTGGATCTAATCCCTTCCTGGTGGGAGGGTTGCTACTTTATTTCATAGTTTTTTTAGTTTGTTTAGGGTTTGTGTTCTATTCAAAAAGGCGATGCAGTGACGGTCCCTAAAGATGTAATAAAGTTCTTGCCGCCCAACCCACATCCCGACACGTCTAGAAATATAGTCCAAGTCTTCACATACCCTTCCATGCATTGGTTGAGGCATGGTGTAAGTCTTGGCTTAAAAGTCTTGCCCTTCTACCCATTGGTTGAGACATATGGTCCAAGTCTTTGATTAAGTCATGCCATTTCATCCATTTGTTGGACATTTTTCGCAAAAAAAAACCATTTATTGGACATAATACGTTCCATGTTTGATATTAAGACTTGCCCTTCAATCTATTGGTTGATACATACAGTTCAAGTCTTTGACTAAGTCTTGTCCTTCTATCCATCTGTCGGGATATAGTATAGCCCAAAGATTTGATTAAGCCTTGCCCTTTTCATGCATTGGCTGATACATATAGTCCAAGTCTTTGGTTAAGTTTTGTCCTTTCATCC